ATCAAGTAAAAACTTGTGTCGTTAAAATTTCGTCGGAACGAAGTTACGGAAAAATCAATTAACAAACGGAGACGTAACATAGTAGTTAAGTTAGATGAAATACTGTAAAATAAATATTTGTTTGTTTGTAATTAAGCACAAAGCTACACAATGGGTTATCTCTGCTCTGCTCACCACGAGTTATTGAAACCTGGTTTTTAACATTGTAAGTCCACAGACATACTGCTGTGCCACTGGGAGGCATAAAATAAATATATAAAATTATAAACAACACAAAGATTTATTACTACAACCTTTATTAGACCCAACACCATTTTCATAAATTTGACTAGAATAGAATATTAGTTAAAATTAATATCAATAATGTTATGGAAGTATTTAACCCTTTAGCTTTAATTATATTAATCCTGTGTTTTAAGAAGATAATAATAATGTGAAAGACAAATGTATCTCTTAGGTACCACAACTCTCTCTTCTTTCTATAGCTTTTCAGATGTATTAAAGTAATATAATATAACTAACATATAAAGTTAAAAAGTTACGAAGGTTTACTCTTAGACTGAAATGGTTCAAGTTACAACATTAAACAGAAAGAAAAAAAAAATCCTAGAATAACATAACCTAGTTTTACAAAAAAAAAAGAAGAAAAATTTGTTTGCAGTGTATGACTTTGTATATTGGAAAATGACATGAATTTTAAAATTAGCAAGGCATGAAAATAAAAAGAAATATGTCCATACTTTTTTGCTTCATTGAAAGCTTATAAGAACTTAAGTTAGACATATTAAGAAAAAAAATAATGAAGTAGTTTCTATTATACAGCTAATATAACATGACTAATTGTGAGATGGGAATAAGACTATTTTATCTAATTAGGTCATGTACAAATAATTTATAATTAGCAAGCCATGACTCACAAGTTTAGCCAACTCTTTAAAAACATTTATAGTGAGAATATGAATGAAGACAGAGAAAGATGATGTGGTACAAATAAAACGTTTATTGTATATGTTAAGATAAAATACAGTTTATCTCAATACACTTTAATTCCTAATTCATTATAATTGTTACATTTATATACACTTATTTAAGTTCAATATTTGCTCCTTTATAAATCCCTTTAGATCAGTAATTTTTAAAACATTCAAATCCTCACTAGTTAGTTATTACTTTCTATTTTGTTACTACTATACATAAAAAATATACACTACTTACAAAGATGTTGAGAATACTATGTTGTTATTCTGAAGTATGAACAGAGTTGAGCAATTCTGATGACAAAAAAAATAGCTACAGAGAGCAGGAACTTGAGAGCATGAAGTTAAGTGTATCTCATTAATTCCTACAATTGTGGGTGTTTATTGAGATAAGTATTTAGCAGTGAAAAAGCCTGAGTTAACTGAAAATCAAGACTCTGCTGGCACCAATTAGACCAAACACACATCACCAAAAGATCAGAGGGTATGTATTTCAGTATCGGTTCAAGTGAGTCTGTGTGTGTGTATGCGTGGTGAATGAGAATCACCCCTTTACCATGGTAACATCAGGCATTATAAAAACTGGTGTCAGGATAGCCAAAATAATAACGTACAACAATGAAGATAATACCAATGAAAAATGTAATAACTTAAATGTTAAAGAAAACTTTATAAACTTATCTTTTCCAGAAAAATGACCATTGTATGAGAGAGTAAATGCATGCTACTTAAACTAGGTCAAGTGAAATTGAAAGAATCTACTACAGCTATGAGTAGGGTAGTTGTTAATCACATGAAATAAAGATGATGTTGATTATCTAGATGTAATTATGTCATTTCTTGAAACCTGAGAAAGAGTTTTCAGAGAAAACAGTAACTGCATGAGATGTGATGTCACTATCAAGTGCAACCATGTCTATGTTCGGCTCTGGCTGGAGTTTTGCAAGCTGTAGAGCAAGACATTACCATAGTGATTCTCCTGTGCTCTCCCAGCTAATAAACATTTGCTAGTTAGTGCCTCTTGTATGCCTTGCCTTTTTATTTCAGTACAAGTTCACCAAGTATACCCCAAATTACACCAAAAAAAGATACACTTTGCTTAATAAGAAATGTAATTTTTTTTATTATTATATCAACATTGATTTAATTTTTAGAGGCATTCATTGTCTTGTGCCTGTAGACATCATAAGTGAAACAAGTTGAGCATTTAATTAGAAAATTAAAACAAAAAACTAATAAAAAAAGCATTAAAGTACAAAATTAATTGTTCATCATCTTATGTTTTCTGGAAGTCTTTCTAAGGCTTCTTGGAAGATAATAGTTAGATTTGTAATCTTTTCCAGTTCTTAGCAGGTCCTTTTTTGCTACGTTGTGGATATTTTTGTTTTCATCTGATGTTTGAACAGAAACTCAACATCTTTGGACAACCATGCATGTATGAGTGAGATGCCATTTTACACAACATCAGCATGTGATAATTGGGTCCCATAAGGTTAAACACGTTTGTTTCTTGCTTATATATTTGCAAAGAATAAAGAGCTATTTCCAAATCATCAGTGTTACTCACAACATTCCCCGTGCTATAGTGTAAATAATTTTATGATACTTTTATCATAAACTTGGTATAATTTATAGTAAAAAGTACAAAAAGTAAACATCATATGGCAAATGAGTAGAGTAATTCAGTGGTTCTCTACTTCTTCTCTCCTGAGCCACACTTAAATGTAACTACTCTTCCTTGTGCCCCATACTTTCACCCCCAGTCTGAGTGACATTTTTCACTTAGTTTCTAACAATTTCCGTAATAGAAGTTTATTTATCTGTAAAAAATATCTATGTAAGGTTGCTCATAAAGTTATTCTCAGCTTAACCTCTGTCAATGAGAAGGTTGGGCTTACATTATAAGAAGGCCTCTCACTATCTTTTGCTTCTTAGTAACACTTACTTCGTTTTCATTCCAGCAATACAGATATGAGAAAATGTATAGGCCAATAACCTAGCTGCTTTCTAATCCTCATTATCAACCACTTTTAAGCAATACTTTGCACATCTAAGGGGAAGGGGGCACACTTTACAGGTGGGGAACCACTGGAATGATTGTAAGGAAATATGTTATATATGGGCATGTTTTTAGTTATGCCCATGTACTTCTCATGAGTGTGATGAAACGTTTATTAACTGTAGTTAATACCATGTCAAGCTATGTAAGATTAGTATTATAATATAACAAACTTCAAAAATTAGAAGAAAATGTATGATATTTCAAATATCGAAACAAATTACCACAAGCATGCTACAATCAAGTCAATATAAAACAATAGTTGATAATGTAAAATAGTAACTTTCAACATAGGTAAAATTAAACTCAAATTAAAGTTAGATGAAACAGAAGAATATTAAATTGGGCATGAATTACCATCAATACAGTTTAAAACTCATTTCATGTTCTCTTTAACAGTTGTTGGCAGTATTTAGTTATGCGTTATTTATTTTAACAATGGCAGATGACTACCATAAGATAATGTGTACAAAGAAAATTATCATTAAGTAAATTGAACCGTGTTACTATTGACATAAAATTGTTAATCATTGAAACTTCAGAATGTATGTTTTTTAATTTATTTATTTAGGTCAGAAGTCCCTCATCACATAATTGGAATAGTGGCTATTGTCCACTTCTTTTTTGCAGTTTTGATCCAGGGACGTCAAGTAGAATGGACGGCAAGGCTTGATTTCCTTTGGAATTCTCAGGTAAAAACAAATGCACTGATTAAAGCTGAAATGAAAAAATATGACCAACAGATACTCTAAAATCAAAATAATCTGCAAGTATGAAACAAAATTCATAATGTTTAATACTGGAAGAATGAAAATGTTTAACTTTAATCATGTACTGTCAATTGATAAACTTCTACAAATATTTGCAAATAAATTTCATAAGCCCAGCCATAAATACTTCAACAAATACATATGTGTGTATATATATACTGTGACAGTTTTGTTTCCAGTCTCCATCTAATACTCTTCAAACATAATTAAACACAAATAATAAGCGAAGAAATTTAAGTGCCAATAAAGATAAGTATGATATCATTCACATGGTAGCATTAACTTTTGTAATAATAGTGTCACCTACTACATCATATGTTTTTTTTTTTGTAAATGAAAAGTCACTGATCATTAGAAACAGATTATGATTTTATAAAGGATAATATCTCTCAAAAAGCTTTCAGTTCTAATAGTCTCATTTTTTACTGTTAGCAGTCTCTGCTATGCTTAAACTCTGAAAGAATAATTGTTTTTTCTAATTTTCATAATATTCAAATTTTATAACAGTAAGTTTTCTTCATTTTGTAGGTAACAAAGTTTTAAGTATCTATAGTTGCAATTATTGTAGTCCCCTTGAAGACCTTCTCTTTAAACTCAAATCCTGTCTTCTTCTGTAAGAGCCCCCCAGTGACACAGCAGTATGTCTGCAGACATATGTTAGAAACCGGGTTTCGATACCTGTGGTGGGCAGAGCACAGATAGCCCATTGAGCAGCTTTGTGCTTAACTACAAACAAACAAACTTCTGTAAGGTGTTTGTAAATATTAAGTATAAATGAGTCTCTGGTTCTTTTGCTTCTGTTACTGATATTTATTATTATTTGAATTGGAAAATCTTGACACTTGAATTTCACCAGTCCCCATTCTTTTCTTGACATAGTATATAACAATAATATAATGTGAAAATCTGTTTTTGGATATTATTTTTAAGACAAAATGTAGGAAATTTACTGTGACATTTTTCATATAGTTTAGATAGATTTTCCACCTACTTAATATTAAGTGAAGATGCCTTGATAAAATACTAATGCATCAGATTCATTGGCACAGAAGTAACCAATACTGTGTTACTGCAAGTATGTGTGTGTGTGTGTGACAAATTTGCTGTCTTAAATAATATGTTTAATTGTTTAGTTAAGGATATAAATGATAATACCTTTTATGTTTTATTGCCTGTTTTATTATGTATATGTCTATGTATGTGACTTAAATTTATTTTAGACATATTTTAATACAATTTGAAATTATGATGTATTAACTTAACTACGGATGAGTTTACTGACATACAAGATACTACAAGAGTTCAACAATTTTGTTCTTGGTACTTGGATAATTATCATGACCAAATATCAGCAGTTTTTAAAAACCCTTTCAGATATTATATATATACATTCTTCATGTTCTATTAAAATGTGGTATTGGTTTATACTTTAGTGCTTCATTGTTTTTCTGTTGTGGTTTTCTTCAGGCAAATGAAGAAAAGTATGAAATGCATGAACTACAGAGCAGCAACAGTCACATTTTATTCAACTTGCTTCCAACTCATGTTGCTACTCATTTCTTGGACAATCAGTTTAGAAACAACATGGTGAGTAATTTTTTATTAAAATATCTTAAGGATTAAAAATGTAATATCTCTTTACTAAATTGCTATTAACAATGAAGTCTACTTGAAAATTTTATCTATGAGTTAGGACATATGTTTTTAATAAATGATAAGTGTATTGTTACTTCTCTCATGATAAAGCTAATTAATTATCTTTTGTACTTGTAGTTTGAAGCATTATGTTTCATAGTAGTTTAGAATAATTATGTTCCTTGCATATGTGATGACTTGTAATAAATTAGCTACAATATGGTAATTTCTAAATTTTAACATTCAAACTTTTGTTTAGTTAAATAGGTTATCTATAAATTGTAATACACTAACTAAATATTAGCTGAGGGCTTATGATATTAAAAAAAATCTGTTTTTTTATACCATGGTGGGCACAGTTAGCCTGTTGTGTAGCTTTGTGCTTAACAACAAACAAACAAATACCAAAATAATGAAACATAAGGTAGTGTACCACAATGTAAAGGTAATACCAAAGAAATTTTTGTACTTAACAGAAAGAATGAATATAAAAACACAAGAATAGTTGTCTCTTACTGACTTCTAATTTAAAAGTTCTGCTATTTATCAGATTGATTTTACTTATAATTAAAAACCCTCAAGCTCATTTAATAAAAAGGTTTTATGGATGTAATCCTTTCATTTTTATGATGAAATGGAAACAAACTCCAGAAATTTGTGAGAAACTATGGTTTTTTCTCTCACTTATTGATTATACTAGTGAGGGCATTAATAGAAGTATATAACTCACATTATAAACTCTAATCAGACATTTTTTTACTGGTTTCAAATACCTTTAGGACTTGTATCATCAATCATACAGCAAGGTAGGAGTAATGTTTGCAACCATTCCAAATTTTCATGAATTCTATACAGACATTAAAACTGATAGTCAGGTGGTAGAATGCTTACGACTCCTGAATGAAATAATTGTGGACTTTGATGAGGTAGGTAGAAGAAACATTTAAATAATTTTTGTGGATGATCTTTATTGTTCTGAAAGATTAAATGATTGCCTACTTTTAAAATGAGAGGACATGCTTTTTATAACTCATTATTTGCTTTTGAAGACTTACATTATCACTAATTGAATGCATGATATATCTAGTTTTCTTTTAATGTAGTAGTAATAAATGAAGAATTTTTCAGTAAATTAGTCACCTATCAAAATTGAAGATAACAGAAACAGATTTTATGCTTTCCTGCCAAGGGGAAGAGTGAGTAAGACCCACCAAAAGCTAGCTTGAATAGTCATTTTTTATATGTTTTCACTTTACATTACTTATTATTTATTCTTTTAATCTTAAATTTTCGTATTTTAAATGTTAAAAATGTTCATTCTTAACCTCCTTTTTACTACCTTATTATTATGATTTTTTTTGTATTTATTTGTGCAAATTATTACTCAGGGTTTATACAGAGGATAAGTATGTTATATTAAAACTATTTTAGAGTCATACCAAATCATTACAGTCTGTGTTGCCATATCCTGTTATGCTCTGTCTCACAACTGTGCATTTTGAAAATTCCTTTGTAGTATGAAGCTTTGACATAAGTCTGTAATTTTCAAAGCACGCTGCTCCTCCCTACATGATCCATATAGTGTGCTGTTATATATATATATGTGGAAGTGTTAAATTTAGTGAGTTTTAAAAAAGGTGATAGTTTTTGCCAGTTTGTTTATATAACCGTGTATGAATCATCAAATCATATGTTGTGTAGTTCAACTGTTGTGAATTGGTGCTTGGTGTATTAGTGCACCATGTTACTAGAACCTTATAAGTTTTTCTTGTTGTTTTGATTGAGTATTATTGCATCATAATATCTTGTAGTGTATAGAACATTATAAGCCTCAGTCAGGCTATAAATATGCATACAAGACATAGTTAGTTAGATAGAAAGATAGATCTAGACTTTGTGGTTGTAAGTTTAGCCATAAAGAGCATATAGTGGCAATTTCTAGAAATTATCACAGATTGTATTGTAATAACAGAGAAGAGAAGAAATAAGTTGTCTCATCAATTGTGTTCTAAAGTGACAGATCCAGCTTGTGTGGATGTTGATGAAAAAGAAACAATTATTTAAAGCTCTGGATACAAATGTGATAACCAACAGTGTAACAAACATTTGTATATACATTTGACTTGTTTTAATATATTATTTTGAAACAAGTGGATTGTGTGTTGTATTTTTATTGTTGAAATTTATCACCAACAAGTCATAGGCACCTACTGTAAAGGATCTGGCCCATACATATAAAAACCTGACATGTACGATCTGAGTTTTTTGAATATTTGGCATCAGATAGGACTTTTACATTCTCTTTCTAAGAGTGATCAGTTTTAGGTGGCATCAATCTACCAACAAAATTTTAAACAATGTCAAAAGGAAGTTTTTGTGATGTGTACGATTTTTGAAAAGGACTGTTAATGCATGACTTAAATTTAATAATTATTTCATATAATGATTTAAAGAATAGGTTTAGATGCAAGTAAAAATATTATGCAAACAAAATTAAGCCTATTAAAAGTCAAATACTTTTATAAATATGCTTTGACTTTTATACTACATGAACATGCAATTATACTGTAGGCACTATAAGATGGAATACATATAATGTTGGAAGGAGGCTTAACAACTACATAAAGTTGTATATGTTATATTAAAACAATTTTAAGTATGCAAACCATCAAGTTATGTGACAACCACAGCAATTATAAAATCATTGTGAAACAATTTTTATTTAAAATTAAAAAACAGATTTCATTTTCATAATTGTTACAAATTAAAGTAGCATGTAAGTTAAATATTTTTATTGTAAACCATCTGCAAAAAAGGTGTGTATAATGCAATTTTATTTTAAGAGATTGAACACATTCATGTTTTTTAGCTTTTAGATGAAGACAGGTTTTATATGATTGACAAAATTAAAACAGTGGGCAGTACATACATGGCAGCCGTTGGACTTATACCCGAGTATCGTATCTCAGTAAGTAGTTCCTGGATCATTGTTTTTAAGCTATATCTTTTTACCAAAATTATTTTGCTCAATAATTACTAATTGTCTGCTTATTAAACAACTGAATATGTCATGAACCCTTTCATTAAACTTGCACCAACCTTAGTACTCGGAAACATTAGGAGTAAGAATCATAACATTGTTAAGACTTAAAAAGCTTTTCAACTGCTTTTTGTATTATGTAAAATTTTTACTAATTATTCTAAGAGAGACAATCAAAAAACATTTGAGCTGAGTTTGCAGCTTTATATTTAATTTAATGGCAACAGTTGGCACCGATTCAACTTGTTATTTTCTGTGTGGTTAAGTCTATACAATGAACCCTCATTAGTCCGGACATAGAAAATCTGAATTATTCACAATCCAGGTGATTTTTCACCTCAAAACATTTTCACAACAGGAAATTTAATCAGTAATTCATATATTTGGGTTTGAAATTCAAACAGTTGTTTCTTATAACAAGCATACATTTCCTATGAATACATCATTCAGTAATCTGAACATGACTACACAAGACAAGTAGGTGTCAATAAGAAAAGGAAATGAGGTAATAATTACTGACCTCAATTACTTGTTTATGACAATATTTCTGTGGATGACCCTCACTTGCAGTTGGTACTGTTTTATGACAATTTTTCTGAGAACAAACTTCTCAGAAGTAATATAAACCTATACTATAACAGATATTGAGAGGTCATCAAAGTTATTTATGCTACAGTTATCTGAAGTCACAGCACTCCAAAACAAAGAAGCATAGAAATATCAGCATCATTAACGCATGTTGTTTGTTCATACAATAATTTTATACTCTATAAGTAAGTTATTGGTTGGAATTGAATGATGATTTATATCGCTTTGGTTATGTAATATGGGTCATTACTGATGACATATAAAATAATAAACTGATAAGTCTATTGTAGACACAATTACTTTTTGTTTACCAGTTTCCTGCTCACCCTTACTAGTTTATACCTTTACATTTATTGATCAATAATGCATGCTATTAATAATGTTTATTGCATTCAAAGTGGCTGATTCGACTATGCAAATGTCTCAAGAACCTGAAAGAACTGCTTCATTACAAATGTATTCAAATTAATGAGGTTTCAGTTTATTATATTTACCTTTCATTGGCTTACATGATAATAATTAAAAAAATGTAGAAAAACTAGGAAGGTCCAAGTTTCCTTTCAGTATATTTCAATCAACACATCTAGCCACTAAGTGCTAACATTTTCTTTTTTGCCTCCTCTAGCTAGTTGGAATTAGTTCCTATGGATCAGTGCATAAGTTCAGTTATATTTCAATTAGCAATAGCAAGTTTGTACCAGCTTCATTTTTATTTTGACTTTACTCCACCTTCCTATTTAATCTTTCAGATACACTGACAGTTCTTACAGTTTCTGTTCAACTTCTTTTTTTCTTTCATTATACAACACTCATGCAGTTTTTTCCCTCATCATTTTGTGTATCAAGTTCACAGGCAGATCATGCAATCTCCATGCAACTTCTCCTTCCTCTTTTGCATATCTGGTATAGTGTCAGTGTATTTCCATTATCCACCAGGAAGGCTATGGTATTTCCAGAAACCATCATATCAAAAATTCTATTCAATCCTAATGCCTATTTCTTTACAGGTTGGTGAATAATTCTAAACTTAGCGACTTTGTGGCTCACTGCTGTATTTGCTGCTGTTTGTTGGCCTATTATAAATTGGCTATAAATGAGAATTTCTCTTTTTGTTTCTAACTGCCATATGAACAACTCTTTACTCAGTCTGGGCTGCCATACTTTTAGCATCTTTAGATAAGCTCCTCTGATCTTGGATGTTGCTATGACAACTGCAACTTCTGATGGGGGCCACTCACTAGCCAGCTTATCCAAGCAGAGTTTTTTATGCAGTCTGTAAGTCTTTAGTCCATCCTTCACTCCATATTTGATGGAGACTATGGTGCAATTAATCCCAAAGCACTGGGTACACTGAGCCCTCCTGTTACTACACCATGGGCGCTGCAGCTAGTTCTTACTTTGTGTATGCTACTTCACAACATTCAAACCAAGTAGCTTGAGACACATTTTAGGTTAGAGATATGATATCTTTGGTATTCAGTTGATATTTTAAGGTTTCACAGAGTAGATTCCTTGAAACTTTTTTTATTATTAAAGTGATCATTTAATTCTCAAGAAGTATTCCTAGGTATGCCTTCAAATAAAATTTCCAAAGGTTATTTTTTTAGATAGCCATGTTCTCACTGATTCATCACTTTCGTGCCTTGCTTTCAACACTTCACATAGTGTGTTTCTCGACTGGACCAAACTGCTGTTATAACTCAGCAAACTGTGTTTCATTCTACTCTAATTTTCATGCATAGGATTTTCAGTCACATCAAATGCCAAGTATACAAACTCAGGCAATGCCTTTAGGTGACCTTTTACATCAATGAGGTTAAAATTATGGGATGTTTTAATTTATAGCATATAGATTGGGAAATGTTAGTGAGGTCATGAGGGAGACATGTTTTTAGAAACTGTTCAGAATGGCTTCCTTCAACAATTAATTAGGAAACCTACCAGGAGCAATGCTACTTTAGATTTATTGTTAACTTCTAATAAAGAAATGGTTGATAGGGTAGAGATTGGGGAACATCTTGATGCAAGTGATCATTGCTAAATTAGATTTAATGTTTCCTGCATATGAAGACAAGACAAGAATTATGTGCTGTGAATTGGGCAACTGAATTAGTTGGAGATATTGGTCAGATGTTGACAAAAATTTTAAATAAACTTTTAAATATTCAAAATAGGCATGTACCTTATAGACACAAAAAAAGGGTGACTGCAAATAAAATGCCAGGTTGGTTCACAAAGGGTGTAAAGGATCAAATGAAAAAAAAGCATTATAAACATAAGTATAAATTCACTGCAATAATGAGAGATTTGGAGGACTACAGAAGATCAAGAGAGTTAGTCAAATTGGAAACTAGGAAATCAAACACTATATGAGAAAAGATTGGCTGAAAATGTAAAAATAAATAGTGAGGATTTCTTCAAATACATTAAGGGTAAGCAAATTATTAGGATAGAAGTACAGCCTTTGAAGGATTACACCAAAAAAAGCTAATATCTGATGATTATGGGATGGCTGGGTTATTAAATTCTACTTTTTGTTCAGTTTTTACAAATTAGGATTTTAAGCAATATTCCTCAACCTGAATATTTGCAAGATGGAAAGTTGAACAGGACGATCACATTAATCTTGAGCTTGTTAAGAAAAAAATTGGAAAGTTTAAACAATGATAAAGCACTCGAGTAAGATAATATTTTCCCTGAGGATTTGAAAGAGGTTAAGAATTGGATATGTGAGCTACTTGCCATTATTTTTTTGACTAATAGGCAGGTGCCAGAATATTGGAAGTTGGCTAATGTTACTTCTCTTTTTCTCAGTAATTATAGGCCTATTTGTCTTAAATCAGTGATGGGAAAGGTTTTTGAAAGTCTGATAAAAAAAAAAAAAAGATGCTTTGCAAAGTCATTTAACAAAGTTTGAAATTTTGTTGGCTGTTCAACATGGTTTCACTAGGAGAAAAACTTGCTTTTCTAATCTTTTGACATTATGTGAAGAAGGTACAGGTGTTGATATGATGTATCTGGATTTTCTAAAAGGTGTCACATGAAAGACTTGTTAAAAAAATTATTCCTGTAGGAGTAGGTGACAAGTTGGTTCAATGGATGGAAAACTGGCCAGAAAGCTTTGATAAATATTTGAATGGTAAAGGCTGGTTTACATTTTTCTTTAAAGGGTTTAGTTTAATTTAGTGGATAGGATAGCCTAGATGAACCAAAAGGTTATTTATTGTCCATTAATGTTATGTTACATTATGTACTGATAATTAATATTCATTGCTGAGAGGAACACTGTAAAGGATGTCACATACTCACACACTTCGGTACATTGCCATCTTATAAGACTCACACACAGAGACTGAAAGCCCATCAATTTCTTGTCCTTGCACTTGGAATAAATGCTATAGCTTTTCTAATATGGCTGCTGCAGCATGCACCAGCAGGACTTATAACCTATGCTTCCTCTGACACAGATACAAGAACATATTTCTTGAAAAGCCTTCTAGAAAAAATAGTAAATAGCAAGTAAGTACACCATTCAAATAACTTGCATGAATAAATGGTAAAAACAAGATAAGTCTTTAGGTTGCAACAGTTGAATGTCAATACTCCTTTATGTTTCACAATTCAACTTTGAATTTTTATACATTTTCAATAAAACTTTGGAACACTTCTAGAACAAATTTATAGGATACTGCTAACCACAACTGATATTTAATGAAGTACCAGGGTTCAGAAGTTCTGTCATTTTCCTCTATGTGCAAGCTAAAGAAACCAAGACATACAATGCCAACAGTTTCTCATGTAAATAACAAAGCAAAATCACTAGTGTGCATTTCAGAAATACAGAACATCATTATTCATTGAAGAGGATAATAACTCATCTGTATACCTTTGAGTGATACAATGGTAAAGATAAGAACCTATCTGCATATTCTTGGGTGATAGACTGACTGACGTGTACAATGGTAAAATGTAAATTAAATCAAGAACTTTTAAATCATATAACAAAAGAAACTTGCACTTTAACCACATAATTTCTAAACTGCTTAACTTAAAATCAACAACATGAAAACCAGTTAAAATTAGAAGTATCTTGTAATTAATATGAAAATCTCTTTGTTAATTTACAGCCAACTAGAAGGGAAACAGAAAGGTGTATTAGGTTTTGGAAAGAGTAGAATTTACAATTTGCAGTTATACATAACTATCAGAATATCAGGGAAGAATGTGTGTGTGTGTGTGTATATATCATGAGCTTCACTATCTCATTTTTATTTAGTTTTAACTAATTTTTGTAGAAAAATATCACACTGTTTATTGAGTGATTAACAGAAAAAATTGTGTGCAAGCCTTTTTAATAAATCGGAGAAAAAAAAAGATTAGTACTACTCTGCAGTATAGTGTTTGCTTATTGCTTTCCTTCCAGGAAGACAACCAAGTCATGGCAGGTCAATGCTTATCTACTTTAGTGGACTTGGTTTTTGCTATGAAAGAAAGACTGGCTACTATCAATCAGAATTCCTATAATAATTTCATGCTACGTGTAGGTAAGTACTTGTTTCGCTGACATGTGGTTTGAGGTTTAATGATATTCAATTTATTTTTTAGACACAACATATTACTTATCTCTGAATAACACATTCATATTTGCACTAGTCTTCATTTAAGAAAATTAAGTTATGAAAAGCTTCCACTCTTTAACTCGCTTAACCAGGTGTTGCTAAGTCTTCTCATATGCTTTATCTTAATTGGTTAAAGCCATAATTTACTTCTTACATCAGTGACATAGAATACATTTTCTATTGCACATATTATATCATACTATCCTTACTTAATGAGCTATGTTAGTTTCTCTCTGTCTTAATCCATCTTCAGATTTTAAGAAAGAACTTATAAGGTAGTGCAAGGTTCTATTGAGAAGGATTGTAGTAGTGTCACTTTTGTTTTTCATTAGCTTATTTTTTGTTGTACAGAAAATTATACTTCTGGTTTGTTATTGATGATTTTCATATCAGACATTATTTATCTTTTCCCAAAAGCTTCAAATCTGTTCCTTGGTCATAATTTTATCTTTCTTTGGCAAAATTTATAGAATGCTTTTTTGAACAGAGGAATATTTGCATGTATTTATCAAAGAAATACATCTGTTAGCTGTAGAGTAGTTTAATTCTTAGTTTGGTGATGGCCTCAAGGTTAAACCTACTCAACAGTCTACATGATCTAAAAAAAATAGAAGTTTGAGGACCTAGTATATGGAAGGACAAATGCAATGATTTGTCAACAGAATATGAAAAATAAAGAGATTTAGGGTTGAATTTTGGATTGAAAATAAAGTATTAGATTTTGTATTCTCATTTATCTTATTCTCTATTACGAGGAGTAACCCACCTTGATAATATGCCAACCTCCAATTTATTTTTACCGTTAATAAAGCAAGCAAAGTGTATTTGTGTTAAGGAGATAAACTTTCATAACTGAATTAAAGTGTATAAAGTGTACATTATCAGTAGCATGGATGATACTGGAAAGACAAAGACAAGACTTCACCATTAAGTCTAAACTTTCAGACTCAAATATTCACTCATAAAAGATAGAAAAGAATCTGTTTGAAAATGCCAAACTGATTCATAAAGCACATACTCTCTGTAAATGTCCAGTTAGAAAAGAGTATGCACAAGAATATGAAAAAACTCTGCTCCATGTAATGGTTGCAAAGTATTCCACTGTCTTCAAGGTAAAGTAAAATATGATGCACCTATCCCATGAAACAGTTTCTTGACTGGACAGTCTAAAGGAAGAACACCTCAAACTTAATTTAGCACAAAGAAAATACTTAAAACAAAATCCATAATATATTTCAGAAAATATACTTACTAGTATCAGGAAAAAAAAAAGAGTATTATCATTATTTTTAAGTTTTTCAGAAAATAGTAGATTTTTTTTCTGATGTAAAATTGAAGACTAAAAGTACTTTTACTTGATCAAGCATATATTTGATATAAAAATACAGTGAATCCTGTTTAAAAGTATAAAGATAATTAATATATCTTATCATAAAGAGAAAGTAATACGTTTTAGAATATCTATTGGTAAGTTTTATTTTCATCTCATGTTTTACTAATAATTTTTATATTTATTCAAAACATATCATTAGGAGTAACAGACATTTTGAAACATAACCTATTTGAGGAAAGAAATATTAGAGAACATAGGAATGTTTAGAAAGCTAGCTCTCTTTTTTTTTGTTGATGTTGTTGATTTATTATTGGAAATTCATGAAATTATTTATATTAAAAGATAAAGCAGTATTCAACAACTATATTGAAAGTGTTTAATATTTTATTATTATAATTCCAAAGGTATAAATGTTGGACCAGTTGTTGCTGGGGTGATTGGTGCTAGAAAGCCACAGTATGATATCTGGGGTATCACTGTGAATGTAGCAAGTTGTATGGACAGCACAGGACTTCCAAATCACACACAGGTGGGCACTTGTTACTATAAAAAATCACATTGTAATGATTATATTTCAGGAGACTGTCATGTAAAAGTAATTTTATATTATAATAACCTGGATGTGATCAGTTTTGATTTTATGTAAACAAGTACAAAGTTGAGAAAACATAAATGCTTTCATTTGTGGCATGATGGGGGGTATTTTTTAATTATGATTTCCTTTCTGGGGTCACTGATTATCTCAGTAGAAATTTTACATATAAGTGAAGCAAAAATTTGTTTTTTTAAGTTGGGTCTGCATTCTTCTGTTTAACTTTCTCTTCCTTATCATTTTCTGATGCTTGTCAACATGCTTCTTTTAGACAAAAAGTACAAAAGCAGAGTTGCAACTGTTGGTAGAAGTGTGTGGATGTATATAAATGTTTTTCAGTGTGTGTCTAATGTTCATAAGATTCAATTTTTCTATGTAAATATTTCTCCAGTATGTGTGTGTGTGTGTGTGTGGTTTTATAGCAAAGCCACATCGGGCTTTCTGATGTGCCCACCAAGAGAAATCAACCTCGTGATTTTAGTGTTATAAATCCATAGTCTTATCACTTTCCCACTGGGGGGGCTCTCTAATATGTGACTGATGTTTGTTAATATTTTTCCAATGTGTAACTAAGATTCAGAAGATTCAAATAAACATTTTGTGTACGTGTGTGTTTCTCCAATGTATCTGATGTTTGTAAATTTTAAATAAAAAATAATTTGATATTGTTTCTAAACATAAAACATATCTAAACTACAATTTACTATTTGCCACAAGTGCTATTCTACTGCTATGGTTGTTATAGGTTAAGATGATTTTAAAGGGTTTTTATTTCACAATGTTAGTTAATAATTTAGTTAACTGTGAAATTTAGAATTCCTTTCAGCTTGTTTATGACACTAGAGGTTCTCTTACCTCTGACCTAAAGTTAGCTAAATTATTCACTAACATTGTGAAATAAAAACCCTTTCAAATCATCTTAACCTATAACAACCATAGCAGTAGGCTGATCTCTGTTGTCTATGGACTATTTCTTTATTACAATCTTGCCTTCTGCCTGTTGTTTTGTAGTTCTACATTGCATTCTTTGACAGTCTTAGATTAGTTGTGTACTATTTAGGTGATCCCAAGGTAAGGTGATTTCCCAACTTCTGTGTAGCGTGACCAGTGTAAAACCTGTAGATTTATTAACCAAAGTTTTAATACCAAAATAAAAGTCAGGTAAATGAATATTCCAATTTTTGTGATTTTTGTGAAACATGTGCAGATAACATTCCCAATGTTCCTTTTACTCTTTCTGTCATGTTTGACTGAGGATGGTAAGGCACAATATATACATGATTAGTTCCTATTCATTAGACATTTCTACCATACAATAAGAGATATATTGTGATCCATTGTTTTGGGAATATCATATATATAAAAGTACTCATTAACTAGCTTCTTCGCAACAGTTTTGATATTAGTCTGTTTTAATGGGTACAGTTCAACGCACTTACTAAGATAGTCTGTCACAACCAATAAATTACCATTTCCAACCATAGATTTTGGATAAGGTACCATTATATTAACATCTACAATCTCACAAGGTTCAGTTGCTTTAGTACTCTTCGTTAAACTTGCAAGTATTTTTTTGGTCAAACTTTATTATCTGGTACATATGACATGATAGAACATAATTTTTAATGTCATTCTATGCCAAGACCCTCATTTTATCTGTTCTATCTGTTGTTTTCCTTATTCCTAAATAACAAGCAGTTCAACTAATACAGGAAGACTTTGTGTTTTAGGAATAACAGGTCTAACTTCACCATTACTTGCAACTCCACCTGTATAATGCCACATATCATTACTTAAAACAGTTTTGTGATTTGCCAATTATTTCTGCAGCTAGTATAGGATCAGTAAGTAAATCTTTCAAGTAAGTGTATGTATGTTTGTAGTCATCACCTCTTGACTGTTCTGTAGCTAATTGTTGCCTGTGTTTTTAATGTTAGTATTAGCTAAAAGCTTAGGGAATAACTTACCAAAGCCCAAGTCATGAGTTTTTGTGTCAGACAGACCAACAGGATGTTGTGATACAAAATCAAGTTACTGGTGATCATGTCTTTTCCTCTGAACAGTATATATGCAGAGAGTTTAGTAAATATCGATGTTATTAAAATTAATAGTACCGAAATGATTGTGAAGTATTGGTGTGTGTGAGCTATGTTAAAAGTTAAGTTAAATGCTAAATTTCAAAATATAACATTTATATTGGGTAGATGTGAAAATATTCTTATTACAATGTACATAGTAGTTTACTAAGCTTTTGTTCTGAACTATCAGTTTTATTATTTTAGGTCACAGAAGAAGTTTTTCAACATTTGAAGGACTTCCCTTACGTCTTTCAGTGTCGAGGACAGGTAAATATAAAAGGAAAGGGAGAAATGACTACTTACTTCCTGGTGGACAGGAAGTCACGAGAGGATGTTATTTCCCACCAAGAATCTCAAGATGTCAATGAGTTTTCCATAACTGGTTCAGGTAATGGTATTCCTGGAGGAGTTCCTACTCCTCTCAGTATGGTTGCTCAGAGTCTTCGTCAAGCTGCAGAAAGAGCTGGTTCTAGGCCCAATAGTGCCTCAAACACACCACAAACAAGAAAATTACAAGGGTTTCAGCAAATCATGCCTCAGGATTTGAAGATATCTTGCAGTCCAAGAATACCTGGTTTGATACTTCCCCATGATAATCAGTTATTGAAAAAACCTGCAGAATTGAACTCACGTGAATCCACACCACCCTATCCTCAACCAAAACCAATAATTGGCAATACACCACCAAAATCTTACTCACACTCCCGACCTCGGCCACCACGATCTGAGTCTCGTGACACCACTCCAAGTTCCCAAAAGCAAGCATCATTAAGAAGGGGTGATCCATGGGATAGCCTCAGACAACTAGGAAACAGTGTACCTCCTCCACCATGTGATACACCAAATACAACAAGCTGCAGAAGTGGAACACCTACAAAAAGTTATGCTAGTTCAAGACCATCAAAATCTTCTATCTCTCCTCAGGAAACACTAGTATTTCCTCCTCCACCTCCATTTTCTCAAAAAGATGATGATTTGATAAAGGAAGAAGCTGTTCCATCATTTAATGCCAAATCTTCAAATCTAAATAGATTAAAACACAGTTCAGATAGTCTTCTTGGACAAGACCAATCATCTGTCCAACCTTCATCAGCAGAAACATCCTCACTGAACCACTCTTCATCAACATCATGTGATAGTTTTACCCGAGCTGGCTTCACACCAATAGGGATAGAGACATCTCCAGCTTTATGGAATTCTGCTTCTTCCAACATGTTATGGGTGTACCCTCTTAAAGATTCCAGTATTAAAAATTATCCCTGTCAATCAACAGAAATTCCCAGACCTAACATTCTCTCTTCAAGAGAAAGTATTCTTTCAAGGGAAGAAAAAGGTCTCCCTGTAGTTGGACAATCACCATCCCATCAATCTTCCATGAAAGAACTAACAAGTGTTGAAAGGAGTGATAAACTTGTGTATGATGAAAGTAACCGAAGGTCTATCATACCAAAGCTCGAACATCATTCTGATGAACTATCACAAAGAGTGCCAAATGTAGGTAATTATTTTGCCAAAATTCCAGGGGCAAAACATGATGAAGCCCTCCTAAAAAGTTATCCACCTAAAGGTCATAATGCATCTCTCTCACAGATTCTAGCCCCTGAAAGGGCTGTGTCTAGTGCTAACATTGGACCAGCTGATCTCCCCCAGAAACAGAGTCTTACAAAGGAAATTTCTAGAAACACACAAAGTGGAAATGAATCTAAAATAGCAGCTTTATTTAAGTCATCTCCATCAAAACAAGACTCTGTAGCCACACAAACTGATTTACCTAAAAAGCATTCAGGACTGAAATCACCTCAGAAAATATGCTCTAGGGCTTTTAAACAAGAAACAGACTCTAAGTGTGAAGAAAGAAAACCATTGAACCAACAAGTTCAAGCAAAAAACAGAGATGATTCAAAGTTCCAAAACTCAGCTGCTATGAGTAAATGGAATACACCAAACTTAGTTGGCATATCTCTTCAGGAACTCCAGAATGTAAATGAGGTTCTTGCAGAGTTTGGTGAAGCAAGCCTTCCTCGTGGAAAAAGAAGTGTAACAACAGGAGAACAACTTTTAAAAGATAAACTTAATAATAATTCTATAGTCACAAAAAGGAAAGATGACAAGCAAACAAGTAAGCAACAAAATACTAACATTTCCTTGCATGAGACAAACAACCTTATTGGTCTTTGTTATAATCCTGTTGACAAAAAGGAGACATTAAGTACACCACCATTACCTAAAGATATCTGTTTGAAAAAATCCAACTCTCAACAAGATCAAGGACGGAAGATTAAAAAAACTCCACAAGGAGTCACATTTTCAGCGTCAGACTGTGAAGAAGAGAAACCCACTCACCACTCTATCCAACAGGATGAGCTCAGTGAACCTGAATATGTAAATATTGACACTACTGCTTTAAGTAAGGTGGGTGACAAATCCGAGCGACCAAAACCACAAAGAGAGCAAGATAAGCAAAACATGGCATCAGATGAATCTGAAAGTGATTATTCTGATGACAGTGATAAGGAAGATGATTATGATGAAGACCACTTAGCTGAAATCCCTCTCATAGATGAACAGGGGTATTGTACAGATGATCCAGCTCTAGAAAACCTCTCTCTTATGAATGAACAAGGTCTTACTGATGCAGAAGGTGCTCTAAGTGACTTAAATTCAATTTTCAATGATCCTGGACATGATGGGGACATGGATGACACTAGTGTATCTTCACGAGCAAGTAGTCGTATGTTTGATAGTGATCAGTTATTGAGTATTGACTCTTTGAACATCATGTATGACTCAGAATACGATAACTATCGTCCAGGCATTACCAGTGATGATGATATTTTCCATGCTGACCCAGTTAGTGATGCTGACCCAGATTATTGTGACGATGTAAGTGTTGAAAATATTCGTTCCCTGACCAGTAGCATAACAAGAAACTTTGGACAGCCACCTGTCAGTGAGAATGAAGGTAGTGAAGCAGACTAGCAAGCTTGATTCATCTGAAAACTATTATATTATTAAGATCATCCACAGTTGAGTTAAGCTTTATTGAAAAAGAAAAATTTGCATCTCCAGTTTTTTTTTCTTACACATTCAAAATGAGTAACTAAATATACTGTGAAAATTTCATATATAACTAACATTATGTGTTAGTAATTTGTCCCAACAATTCCTCACATGCACCAGATGATCCTTTCATGTATTAAGTGTACTCTGGAAACTGTAGATATATATATATATATATAAATAATAATAAACTTTCTCAATATGTAGCACAAAGCTGCTACTAGTTAGTGTA